GACATTCTCTTTGTTTGATGTAATTTACTCGAGCAAACAGAGACTGACTGTATATAAAATAACTATTTAAACACCTATTCCTTGCTTACACTATTTCATCCTCTTCATTTCTCATTCTCACACTTGGGACTTATTCCAGTTTCTAAAAATCCATGGACAAGAGCTTGTCATGGTTGCCAAGCTCTTGTTCTCTCTTTCAGTAGAAGCCATTTAAAAAGACAGATCTATAAAGATAGAATAAGAACAAAAATATTACCTCATTCATTGGGACTAGCTTCATTGAAAATTCCAGGGCACATTTGCAACGTTCTTGCTTTCATCCACAGCAGGTAGGTTTTGTCTCTGTTAAAAGATTAAGGGTGTTAAAGTTAGGACTAAAAGTGCACCATTTTATCAAAGAATAGGGACTATTAGTGCTCCATATGAAAGAAATAGGATCATTTTGAGCCTAGTCCATAGATAATAGACTATTTTGAGCCTTTTCTCCTCAACATGCTATAAACACTCATCAAGTTTAGTTATACTCAATCCATAAAATGTTGACGACATACCTGAGGAGATACTGCCTGATAGACTTGAGGTGAAGATATTTCTGACTTCACTTGTGGATGATGAAATCCAACACACTGGCCAACTGACTGCTGTTGCTGTAAAACTCCTGTTTTCATTCCCATTTGCTGCCTCATCATTAGGTCATTAACATCAGTCAGCTGGTGAAGCTGTGACATCTTGTGGGCGGGCAATTGCACAGTCTGCTGTTGCAGTTGCCTTAACAGTTGTTGCATTAACTGATGTCTATGAAAAAGTTGCTGATGTTGCATTAACTGCTGGCTATGAAAAGCTTGCTGCTGCTGATACATCTGTCTTAATTGCTGGTCCTGCAACATTTGCTGCTCGTGCAATTTAAGAAGTGACTGTTGCAAGACGCTTGAATTTTGCCATAGGGAACCGAGGTTTGCCTGCCCTGGGTGCATTCCACTTTGTGAACTTAATGAGCTTATGCTTACTTCTTGAGGACTGTTGACAGGATTCTGTTGAGAAAAGCCAGTAGCTGGTGAGATTATTCCGTCTTGCTGGGAGTTGTAAATTGTCGATATGCCAGACAAGGAAATATGTTGCGGGTTGGTGAGGTTATTCTGTTGCATTGCCGCCATGGAACCATGTACAGGTTGCATCAGTGGATTGGTTTGACCATCAAGAGATTGTAGTTGTTGAAGCTGTATGGAAGACTGAGGAAGTTGCCCCTGCAGTAGAGAAAAAGAGCGCTTGCGCGGCCTATGGGAACAAAGAAAGAAACTTATGAGTTTCTCAACCCAAAGCAGTTTCTCCTTGTGAGTAACCAGAATATCATGCTTGTTAAGGCCCAAGAAAACCATAATGTGTTCCAACTTCGTCTTGAACATCTTGAGCTTTTCAATGTTCTCATTTGGAGATAGAGAATCATGCTTAAAATCAGAAAAAAAAACAGTTAAGTCACAGTCCTGTTTCTTACTCTTAGTAAACTTTTAAAAGTCATGCTTTAAATACCTCCCATGGCAAAGAAAAAGGGAGGAAAACTTAAGCAATGGCATCACGAGACAAATAACATAACTAGCAAGGACCCCACAATTCAGCGTAATGTTGATTCAAGTGCTCTTTAAGTTCGGATAAATCAAGCCCGTTCCCAAAGAATTACGGAGATCTTGATTCTTCACCGAAAGGAAAACAAACCAACATAAAAATGACATCTATATCACAGTTTTTACCAAAGATATATGAAAATAACTCCTTTTATGGTGTCCACCACCACCTCTACTTCACAATCATACAAAATGCTTCAACATAGACAATACATGGAGATGCAAGAAATGAAAAGGAATTAACCGCACTACAATATATTCCCATATAAGAATACTGTTTCTCAAAAACACAGGAAAGGAACCAAAGATGCAAAAATGAGAATTTACAGTTTTGAGCTTTCTGCATCAGTTATCAGATAGATAATATTCTAGGGCTACCTTGGGCATATCAAGGAGTTCGTATGCTATATGCAAATGATGACTGAAACTTGCTAGGGAGTCAACCAAAAGTAGGAACTATGATGATGTTGCCTTCTCAAAAAAAAAAAGTCGGAACTATGACGAAGTTGTGTAGGCTAGCCAAAGCGAGAGGGTTGTTTAACATCATTTTTAGAACGACAAAAATGCCTGAAGAATGAAGGTGGAGTACAATGATACCGATCTACAACAACAAAAGTGATATCCAGCATTGCAACAACTATAGGGATAATTCAAAGCTGCTAAGCCACACTATGAAAGTTTGGGAGAGGGTGGTGGAGTTGAGGGTGAGGAGATGTGTGTTTATTACTGAGAACCAGTTCAGATTTGTGTGAAGCCAGTCACCTATAAAAGTCATTCATTCCCGAAAGGAGGTTGGTGGAGCTGTATAGGGAGAGGAAGAGGGTCTTACATATGGTGTCTGTCGACCTACAAAACGCTTACGACAGTTTCTAAGGGGGTTTATGGAGATGTTTGGAGGCTATAGGTGTACTTGTAGCATACATTAGAGAGATTACGGACATGTATAATGGAATCAAGACCCGGGTAAGCATACATTAGCCCGTTCTTATTTGCCTTAGTGATGGATGAATTAACACTGCATATCCAAGAGGTGTCATGGTGTATGTTATGTGCAAATAACATAACATTGATTGGTGAGACATGCGACGGATTTAATGATAGGCTGAAGGTCTGAAAACAGACCCTGAAGTTTAAAGGGTTTAGGTTGAGTAGGAGTAAGACAGTACTTGGGGTGCTAGTTTAGTGATGCGACTCACGAGGCAAATGTGGAAGTGAGGATTGATATACAAGTCATCCCCAAGAGAGGGAGTTTTAAGTATCCAGGATTAATAATCCAAGGTAATGGGGAGATTAATGATGTTCACATTGGAATGGGGTGGATGAAATAAAGTCTAGCATCTCGTGTCTTGTGTGATAAAAATGTGTCACCGCGACTTAAAGGCAAGTTTTTAGAATGGTGGTTAGACAAGTAATGTTGTATGGGGTGGAGTGTTGGTTGGTCAAGAACTTGCACGTACAGAATATGACAGTAGCAAAAATGAGGATGTTGAGATAGATGTGTAGGCATCATACTAAAATAGATAGGATTAGGAAACGAGAATATTAGGGATAACGTGGGCGTCTCCGTGGCAGACAAGATAAGGAAAGTGAGGCTCGGATGGTTCAGGGATGTGAAGAGAAGATGTTCGATGCTCCAATGAGAAGGTTTGAGAGGTTGGATATGGTGGACATATGAAAGGTAAAGGTAGGCCAAAGAAGTATTGGGAAGAGGTGATTAGACAGGACATGACACAATTATAGCTAATCGAGAACATGACCTTGGATAGGAGAATATGAAGGTTGGAGATCAGGGTAGAAGGTTAGCAGGTAGTTGAGCGTTGTCTAATTTTTCTCATGAGTAGTACTATTAGTTACCTTTATTAACACTTCGTTTCTTTGCTTCAATTATTGTAGTATTTGTTCTTGTTATTGTTCCTTTCTCTATTATTTTATCATGGTTGCTTCACTACTATATTTCCTTTTCTTAATTGCTTAGAATTTTTTTACCTGAGCCGAGGATCTTTTGGAAACAACCTCTTTGCCTTCACAAGATAGGGATAAGGTTTGCCTACCCACCACCTTCCCCAACCCCAAACTGTGGGATTACACTAGGTATGTTGTTGTTGTTGATGAAGCACTTAGAAGGCAACGGTTTTAGGACAAGAAGAAGACAAAATATATGATTGCAAGTGATGTCCCCATAAGAAGAATGACTTCTGAGAACTATTAACATCTCAAATTATATCAAACTCTAGTAAATCCAGCATGCTTCCAGAAATGATAATAGTGGAATAAGATGTTGATGACATACCTGCTGCACTTTAGAAGCAATATTCTGGTATTCATCATGGATATCTGATAAATACTTCTCCTTCATAGACTTGATCTGCATTACAAATTTTCATTAAGTCAATTGCAGAAATGTCAAGACTGCATTTCCACGAAGATATGTGATAATTAGATCAACTGTACGATGCAGTAGAGAAGTAACTACAGAATCTTTACAAAAGAACCTTCCATATAAAAAGGTTAAAAGTGAAGTACAAGAGGAAGACTACAACTGATTAACATGCAAATGGTAAAAGAAACAACAAGCTTTGCTTCCTTTAGCTTCTTCAGTACACAGTTTTGCTCACATCATGAGTACAACTTCCATAATGTGATCATAGACCAGCCCAACCAAGAGGAATTAGCATATACACTTTTTATAGTAAGTTTTGGAGATATAATACAGTTTAATGGCTGTCAACATTATTTATGATCTTTTTTCACTTTACATCATTGTCATCAACGAAGTAGAACGAGGGTAAACAACGAAATAATAACAATATAGTTGGATTCACAAGTAAAAAACAACGGGATGGAGTACACAGAGCATGTTAACGTTATATGTTCATTCTTGGAGAAGTCAGAGTATTCGAACTTATTCCCTAGCTAGTAAACCAAGTCAGGGATGTAAGTAGAGAAGGATTAAGGGGAGGGCTTGTTGCCCACAGAGTTTCAAAGACGGAAGCACCAAGTAAAAGGTTTTATTGATAATAACAAGGTCAACTTGGCTGTATACAATTGATATACCAAAAAGAGGAGAAATCTACAAAATATGGTTCTCTCTAAAAGACACTCAATCCTCTATACAAACAGGGTGCTCCAAAAAAGAAAATAAGGGATAGGAGACTACTACTCAATTGAGCAAAGCGCATCTCCACCCCTTCAAAAGCTCTCCTATTCCTCTCTTTCCAATTGACTCACATCAAAGCAAGAGGAGTACCATTCTAAGTCTTGTGTCTTCTGGATGATTCTTGGCATAACCTGTGAAACTCCAAACCATATAGAGATATCCTCCGGCTAAATTGCACTGTAACAGAATATGGTCCACGTCCTCATCCGACTCCTTACAAAGGAAACACTAGCTCATGCAAACAACCTTTCTATTCCTAAGATTCTTCACCATCAAAATCACACCTCTAATAGCGAACCGTGTGAAGAAGCACACCTTCCTCGGCGCCTTCGGTATCCAGACTGAGACATACGGAAAACTATCCACTACCCTAACCAAAGATTTCATAGAAGTACTTAACCGAGAACACTTTTTTATTCCCCAACTCCCAACTCAAAGCATCGCGTATGTTGACGGGTAGACATTGCTTTTAAAGTAAACCTAGCAATCTCTGAAACTCAATCACCTCCCAATTTCAGAAAGTCCTTCTAAACCTCAAATCCCATAAGGTCCCATCCCCATGAGCCCCCTTAACTTGTTGAACAGACAATTTCCTTTGGCAAGAAACTTTATACAATATTGGGAATTCATCCTTAAGCACCAAGCCTCCACACTACTTTTGCCCCTAAAAACTAACCATACTCCCTTGCCCAACTTTAAAACAGGCATTCCACCCCTTCATATTCATGATATTCCTCCACACACCACATCCAAAGGACATCGTGATCACATTTGTTCTCCATCCCCGTTTCATCTCTCAATATTTATCCGCTATCACCCCTCACCATAAAGCTCCTCCATCAATCGCAAATCTCCACAATCATTTGCCCAAGAGTGATTTGTTAACACGGAGGGACATCTTATTATAGTCATATATTCAGGTATATACTTCTTACACGAATACGTCTATCCTTCAAACTATCAACTAAAGATTAAAATGGTGACATGCCATGAAGACTTCGAGTCGAACTTACATACATTTACCTCATGAATTTAGATAATACGATCACAACATTCAACAACTAATTTTCTATAATCAATAAATTTATCAAACAATACTTCCTCTATTACTCTATTTTATCATAGGAAATATTTCAAAAGATTCAGCTATATATTATAATGTTATAACCAGGCAATTTAAAAAAATCCACAAATGTTTTTTTATAACATTATAATATATCAAAAAACATTTGTGGATTTTTTTAAATTGCCTGGTTATAACATTATAATATATAGCTAAATCTTTTGAAATATTTCCTGTGATAAAATAGAGTAATAGAGGAGGTTTAGCAAATGTAATTTCCTCAATTTTCAAAATCTTGCGCAAATGAAAACATCATTGCAAACAATACCTGTTGGTAAACCTCTTCTTGCCAATCAGCTCCATCTGCATGTCCCGTCTGAGTTGCAAAATCTAAAAATGCTACAACTAAAACAAAAAAAATGAGGATAACACAAATTTCACAAAACTTGATTGCTTACAACATTAGAATTTTAGGCAAATTTTGAGACAGTGTTAGATAATTTCAAGTATATTAATACATTTTTAGTTACCTTCCAAATATACTTGTCTAAGAAAGCTAAGTTTCCCACTTTACAGTAGGGTATTGAATGGGTTTTTGGTAACATACTAATATTTCCATCCTTTTAATCTATACTATTATAAAAGTAGGAACCTCCCACACGAAATTTTGATTACCATTCGTAAGTGCATTCTGCGTTGGATAACTTCTCTTGAGGCGAGGATCTATCTACCCCACAAAGGTAGGGTAACGTCTGCCTACATCCTACCCTCCCCACATCCTACTCTCTCCAGAGAGCACTAGTAGAATTACACTAAGCAAATAATGAGCCCACCCTTTACCTTTATAACAGGGTTCGAACGTGGTATGTGCCTCTAACCCATACGTCACAAATTCGCTCTTACCACTAGACCAAGGTCTTGGGGGCTTATCATTTTCTCTTTTTTTATGACAAGGAACACACACTTGCTGCCACTCTTAGGTAGCACAGGATAAACCTCGCACCAGTATAATACATAGCAAATCACACGTAAGACAAACTGTACTAGGCAAACCCTATACAACAACCTCGATCAGAAGTGTAAAATCATTGACAAAAGAAGAAAAAATACATATACAAGTTGAAATCGGAAAATAAAATTACCTCCGGTGGCTTCTCCGGTGGGAACCACGGCTGGGTCGATACCTTCACCACCGAGAGAATCCATCTCAACTGATCAACTTTTTCTTCCTTAACCTGGAAGATAAAAATTTCTTAATGACGTTTGTGTATGTATATGTAACAGTTAATTTCTCATTGGTGTCTCAATTAATAATCTTTATACACTAAAGTAAATTAACTTTGTATATATAATAACATAAAAGTCACTTAAGTAATGGTAATTATTTTAAAAGGTTATAAAAAAAAATTATTTTATATATAAAAAAGAGTAAATTTTAGGTTTAGCAAACATAAAAATCATATTAGCGCTCTATAGCTACAGTTTTGCTATTTGCGCTCCATAGCAAACATCATATTTGTATAAATCGCAGGCAGACATCTCATTTGTATAAAAGCGCAAGGATCGTATATGTATATCGGTTAGATAATTGTATATATGTAACTACTATGTATATGTATCAATGATTATGTTTGTATATCTACATAAAATTTGAATTTGTATTCAATTGAATCGAAATGAAACATTTGTATATCAAATCTCTATCTCTCGCTTTATACAACACAAATTATACATTGTAATTTGTATAATTTGTGTTTGTATAAAGCAAGAAAGAGAGAAAGGCAAAAGAGAACTGGTAGGGGAAGATATGTATTTGTATAATTATATGTGTATAGGACGAAAATATATGTATTTGTATTTGTATATACAGTTTTCACTTGCTTTATACAAACACAAACGCAATTTATATATTTGTGTTTGTATAAAGTGAGAGAGGCGAGGGAGAGTGGCGAGCGAGAATTCTGAGAGTGGCGAGCGAGATTTCTGGAGAGAGAGGCGAATGACAAAGTGTTTGCTATGAATTAGAAGAGTAATTTCCCTGGATAGTCACCCATGTTTGGGAAATTACCTTGCAATATCACTTATGTTTGTTTTAGGACCACAATATCACCCAACTTTACCTATTTTCCTCAAAATATACTTACACAAAAAAAACATTATCTCTCTCCTAATAGGATGCCATGTCACATTATTCCTTTTTCATTATTAACATTTTTTAAAAAAAAATTTAGACAACCCATATAGTAAAAAAAAATTACATAGCCCAAAAATTTCTACCCTAGTTCTAGGGGATTAGGCGGCAAATCCAAATATGAGCTCCTCCGATTCTTCAAGAAAATATGTGGCTTCCTCCAATTTTTCAAGTGAGATAATGTTTTTATATGGGCACTAATGGGCAATGACACCTTTTTGTTGAGTCCGGAGTCAAAAGTGCAACTTTTTTTCTTTAAAAAACAAAAACGGCACATCAAAAAAAAAATTAACCAAAAGGGCAAAATCGCTCCTGCCGGAGCGATTTTGTTCTGACAAAAATTGACGCCGTTCCGCTAAAAGAAATAAAAATCGCTGTTGATTTTCTCAAAAAAATATTTTTTCTTGAAAATCGCTGCTATAACAGCGTTTTTATATTAAAAAAAACTGTTGGTTTTCTCAAAAAAATATTTTTTCTTTAAAATCACTGCTATAACAGCATTTTTATATTAAAAAAATAAAAGCAAAATCGCTGCTAAGAAATTAAAAAAAAAAGTTTTGAAGTTTAAAAAAATGTTAATAATAAAAAAGGAATAATGTGACATGGCATCCTATTAGGAGAGAGATAATATTTTTTTGTGTCAAGTATATTTTGAGGAAAAGAGGTAAAGTTAGGTGATATTGTGGTCCTAAAACAAACATAAGTGATATTCCTAGGTAATTTCCCAAACATGGGTGACTGTCCAGGGAAATTACTCGAATTAGAATTAAATGAAACTGTGATTACAAAATTTATTTTGAGTTAATAGTTTGCTATTTCATACCATTTTCCCTATAAAGAACACTCAATTACTATTGTTTTATCTATAAAATAAAATAGTGTTAATTGAATAATTGCATGAGAAAGTAACTCTATAAATAATTGTATTTTTGTAAACTTAAGAACGAAAGAATAATATAAAGATGAAGACAAGAAGAATATAAGACAAGAGGAACAATATGAGATAACTTTCTTTCTTTCAAGTGCTCACCAAATCTTCAAGTGTATCCAATATGAACCCTTATGCCTCTATTTATAGTGTAAGATAGAGGCATACAAAAGGTTAGTCATAAACATGACATTAACATGAATATAATGGGGGAGGTTATAGAAGTGAAAGGTTACAAGAATAATGGTTATAAAAGGTGGAGGTTATGGGGGTTATGGTTATCTTCATAATTGAGGAAAGTAATGGAGTAAATTCTTGATGTAGTAGACATTCACAATATATTATTTTATAACACTCCCCTTGGATGTCCATAAATAATATGCCTCGTTAAAACCTTACTAGGAAAAAACCCCATGAGAAAAAATTCTAGTGAAGGAAAAAGAGTACACATATCTTTTAATACGCTTTAAATGTTGCCTCGTTAAAAACCTTACCACGAAAACCCAATTGGGATAAAACCATGGTTAAGGAAAAGAGTACAACGCGTATTTTTCTCCCCCCGATAAAAACTTTACTTGATATCTCGAAAACAATGCATTCCAATCTTGTATCACAACTTCTCAAATATTGATGTTGGCAGTATTTAGTGAATAAGTTTACAAGATTATCACTTGAATGGATCTTTGAACGTCTATCTCACCATTTTATTGAAGATCATGTGTGAAAAAGACTTTTGGTGAAATATACTTTGTCCGATCTCCTTTGATTGTATCCTCCCTTTAATTGAGCTATATATCATTTTTCGTATATGGTGGCTGAAATATCCTTTTCAAAATAAAATCACATATTTTCTGAATATGATAGATCATGATTCCAATCAAACACACTCCCGACTTAATTCATAGATCAATATTATTTCTGCATGATTTGAAGAAGTGGTTACTAATGTGATTCTTTGAATTTCCAAGATATCGTTGTGTCTCCATATGTAAATAATAGTCCATTTGCGATCGAGTTTTATGCAGATAAATAAATATTCTACATCTACATAATCAAATCATTTCTGACTCGGGGATTGATCATTTCAATTTTATTGAAGCTCGTTTTTTCTTTTGAAAGAAAATCACGCATCTTCTATATGTTGAGTCACTTGCTTTGTTAGTTTCTTGTCATAACTTGAATGATACTATGGCAATCTTTTCACATAACTTTCACTATGTATATCAAATAATCTTCTAGCATTTGCATAACCAACAATCTGTAAGTGCACCAATTGCACTAATACATGACAATTTAAATCATTTTCATGAGATCAAAAAGATTCTTTCTCTGTGTTAAGCAGTCTCAAAACCATTGGGTACTCAATGGAATTGCTTTAAGACGTTTTTAAATCCTTCAAGGATTTTCATATAACCTTCGTCGTCTAGTTAGACATAATAATCATTCATTATGCATATTCAAGGATCTCATCTATTGTCAGACTGAAACAAGTCTCATTGCATCCACCACTAGAGAATATATCTTCATTTAATAATGTTAATTTTTTTTTGTGAAAATCCTTTATGCCCCGAGGCACAAACCACACATTATATCTTACGGTTATATTTTCTCACAATGATTCATTTGTACCACACTGACATTATATTTTGATCCATGAACTATAAGATAAAAAACATCACTTTTCTAAGTGAAACAAAATATACTTGAATGGTGCCAAAAATTTATCTGTCCACACTATATGAAAGATTTGAATTTAATCAATTCCAATACGACATAACTTATCGAGATCTCTTCATTTTTCATCATTTTCAGGTACCTGAACCTTTGCCAAGGTTTTATGAAGTGTTATGTCACAATGCTCTTTCAAAGCACTTACCTCATTATCATGACCATTTTGATAATTTGCTCCTCTCCTTCTTCAAGGAGTTTTACTTTTGGAATCGATTGGTCTATCACGCTTCTGGCATACTACAGACTCTGTCCTTTAAGGACTATTTATTGGAGCATTTGCAGCTTGATTAAAATATTAAGTCAGCAAATACATCTAGCAAATTATTTGCAACATTTTGCAAATGAATTATCTCTTGAACTTCAAGTTCACATTTTTTTTTTAATGAGGATCTAGATAATTCACCCCACACATAATTTTCAGCTGCTAAACATTTCTCCCCCTAATGTTAGGAAATCTAACAATTACCTCCAACCTCATTTGGGGATCCATCTTTGTGTGTGGTGGAACAATAAAATCATATGTGCACGCAACAAATTTTTAGATGGAAATTATTTGGTTCCTGAATCTGAACCAATTGTGATGGGAGAACCTTGTTGGCTTGATGCATACACGTTAAATAAGCTCATCTCATACCAAATTTTATTTTAAAGATTTGTTCTCATAATCAATGGTCTAGCTATAATTGGAGGCAAACAATTTCTGCTAAACCAACTAGTATTATCAACATTTTATAGTTTGGAACTTTGCTCTTAATTTAACAATTTGAGCAATAACCTTACAAAAACCAATTTGTAAGTTGATACAAATGCACACGTGACCATACCATAGATGCATCTATTAAATCATAATAGTAAGTGGTCCACATGGCAGGTGAACGGGCCCATATTCACCTTTTTATATGTTCCAAATAATTTCAGGGGATACAATCCCAACCTTAGCTGGTACAACAATCATTTTATCATGAGAACAAGCAACACATGAGAATTCTTGAAGATCTTTTGTTTCTTCAACATATAACCACATGAATTCTCAATTCTTTTGCATCACATTTGCACCGAAATGGTCAACCGGTTATGCCAACTGATATTTATTCTAGTAAACTTCTAGTTTACTTTTGCATGCGATTCCATCATCATGCATATATTTGTATACAACAAACAAGAGAAACGCGGGTAACCTTTTATGTAAATATTCATAACCCACTTTGATTGTAGTAATCTAAAGATATTTGATCTTTCAATAATTTACAGTCTCAATATAATAATTATTTTCAATTCCTCCGAAACTTATACAACCTTAATATTATGAACTATTTTCATTTCTGGATAGTAACAAATGAGTTCTTCCGAAACTCTTAATTAAGTTTGTGTAATGCCACAAATTTTACAGCATCATTCTTATGGTGACCATCTCCTTCAAGGCGAATACATGCA